TTCCACTGTAGTGTCTGAATAAATGAGACCAGATTCACTTCTCTGTGACAGTTTCTTTACCTAGAAAACAGTGAAGCTGATAACAGACATGGCCTCAGTGTTTCATAGGGATAGAACATGAAAAGATGTTACACAGTATTTAGGTCAGGTTTTTGGTGGCTAGTGCCTTTCATCCCAGCACTTGAGAGGCAGAGGCAGGTGGATATCGGTCTACATAGTGAGTTCCAGGAGAGCCAGGGCTACACAGAGAAACCCCATCAATAATAATAATAATCCCTTACATAATTCTTAGTATAAAATGCATACCTAATATATGTTCATCTATTTGTTGAACCTACAGTTTCCAGTGCTATGTTTCAGGCTAGAAACGTACAACACTGAATAAAACAGATAAAAACCCTGACTCTCAGTGAATATCAGCAAAGAGACAGAGAACAAATTTCAGTAAAAAAAATATATCCTGAGCCAGGCATGGTGGCTTGCGCTTATACTCGCAGCACAGGAATGTCAGTTCAAGCCCAGCCTCATCTCTAAAGCCAGCCAGGGTTACAGACACACACACACACACACAAACACACACACACACACACATTTTATACATACATATATGTGTATATATGTATATTTTAGATACATACAAATATACACACATAAATATATAAAATGTATTTGCTGGTGCTGGAGATTGAATCTAGGGCCTCCTGTACCACTGAGATATATCTCTAACCATCTTTCTACTTTTCATTTTTGAGGTAAGGTCTCACTGAGTTGCCCAGGGTGGCCTGGGACTCATTCTGTTAACCAGACAGGCCATGAACCTTCAATCCCCCTGTCTCAGTCTCCTGAAAATGTTTCCTAGTGTAATAAATGAAATAGAGAAAAAGGAATTTGGGAGAGGGATAGGGAAGAGGATTTTGTGGCTATACACACGATGGCCGGGGGAGGCCGTGAACATAAAGAGCCAGCCATGACATTACCCAGCAGAGTGGAGCTCCAGGTAGAACTATGGATTCAAACATAAAGCCACAGCCAGAACTCTGTATCTGGCAGAGGAAAGCACGGGTCTCCAATCCCTTACTCAAAATTCTGAAATCCACAAACCTTTGGTGAATAAAGTCACACTTATCCCTACCTCTTCTACCTCCAGACCTGAAATCCTGGGATCCCTCTTGATAAAACAGCATTCCATTTTCTTTCTTCAAATTAGGAGCGCTGGCTGACTCTGCCTGGCTCTTTGAAGCATCCATATGTGCCCCTGGGTACCAAGTGTCTTACACCCTATCTGTTCTGCTTTCATTGACCTTCTGCTTGTGTCCCTCTACTACTTACTTACCTTGGTTCCTCAGTCCACGGAAGCCCAGTAGCCACATGGTTGGAAGCTAAGTCTCCTGCCTTCCAGGACAGGTTTCTCGCCTCAGCCGAAAGCTGACTATTCCTACAAATTTCAAGGAGACACTGACATCTGAAGAGCCGAGATTGCTCATTTTCTATTCTTAACAGGAAGATAAACTAAATGAGTATAAAGCACGCCGGGTATGGGAGAATGGATAAGGACAAAAAAAGAAAGCAGGAGGGAAGATGGAAGGGCACAGGTAAGCTATAAAAGCAAAATATAAAGCTTGAGACAAGCGGAAAGTGATGGCTCATGCTTTTAATCCCAGCACTTGGGAGGCAGAGGCAGGTGGATTTCTAAGTTCTAGGTCAGCCTGGTCTACCGAGTAAGTTCCAGAACAGCCAGGGCTATACAGAGAAACCCTGTCTCAAAAAAACAAATAAACAAAAAGATTGCGAAAAACCCAACAGGCCTCTCTCCCTACAAGTATTTATGAATACAGGGACAACACCCTTTACTGTGTTAGCTCTTCAGTGTTAGTTCATCTGCATATCTTAAGGTTTTTTTTTTTTTTGTAATGTCAATCTTCCCTTTCAAATTAAAAAGGAATCCTAAAGAAGAGTTAGAAAATCCACAACTGACTAAACTTTCTGTTGATGGGAAATCAGCCCTCACAGGTTTTAATCCGGAAAAAACTCACCCTAAATTATCCATGACCTCCTCCTTCTTCTAGAAAAGAAAAAGAAAGATAAGAGCTATACAGGAAAACCATCTGCAACTTTGAAAACCTCACAGTGGCCGACGGATGCTCCCAAGTCATGATCCTTTGCAGACAGGAAACGGTAGCTCCAAGCTCTCCTCCCCACATTCAGCCCAGTCTGGAAGGATTTGTGTGTGTCCAACTTCAGAAGATTCTGGGCTGCAGCAGAGAATCCTGGACTTTCCGGCAATGGCGTTCACTAGGCTCCAGGTACAGATGCCTCCTCTCAAGTGTGCTATCCAAAGGGCTAGAGGCAAGAATTCAGGCAGCCACGAAGGGGCATGGGACTTCTGCTTGCCTATCTCTAAGCTAGTTACTACAGAAGCTGCAGTTCTGTGGACCTTGAAGTTCTGATAAGGAATCTGCCAAGTGCTTCATATTTAGATTAACAATACCAATAAACAAACAAACAATCAAGGAACAAACTTATACTAGCCAGGTACAGAATCCAACTAGGGTTTCAAAAAACCCAAGTAGATGAAAGGTACGTTAGAATGGTGTGTAATTATTTTGACCACATGATAACAAGCTCCTATCCATATAATACGGTGGGACCCAGGGTGGCTAATGTCCCATATTCTGTCCTGTGAGATATATATATTATCTTTAGCCACAGATTCGCTGGCTCATAAATGACTGGATTTTAAAGAGGCATCATTTCCACAAGGCTGCATGGCTAGGGTGAGAATTTGGGTAGCTTCCATCCCTAGTTAAAGGCACTTCCCCTAAACCTAAGTAGTCCTCTTCTTGAATCCTTGTCCTGTCCATATTTTAACCAAGCTGCATATTCACAGTGATAAAACCGCAAACGAAAGAGCAAGTCAGAAATGTTGAAAGAGAATAGGTACTTTCACTATCAGTGATGGTTTCCTCTTTTCCCACAAGATGTCTTATCAGCTTTCACCCTGAGAAAAACCATAAAAAGAAAAGAGAAATCTTACGCAATAGTTCTCTAAATAAAGTAGTACGTAACAGACTAGTCATCCTTAAAAGTGATGTTGTGTAAGGAGTCAAAGTACATCATCCAGCAAAATCAATACCCTATTAAGCTAGGCAGGATTCTGGATATCAAAGAGCAACAAACTGAATAACTTGAAGTATAAGTACATGACCCAGGGGATTAATCACACACTGTCATGGTGAAATTAGGACAATTCTTCCAATCATTAACGTTTTGCTTACAAAAGTGTGCTTTTCTGTTTGCCTTTCTGCTAAATGATAACCGTTTTTCAGGTTGAATCTCCTGATAAAAAGAGTTAAAAACAAGACAGGAGCTGTGCTGTAAAGGTCATACCTGCCGCTTCAACATGAAATAGCCAAAGGGCAAACAAATGAAAAATGTCTGGATTGTAGGAAGAATTTGTAAATATCCCCTGGCAGTCTGTAACTTTATAAAAGTCAATGCTAACCTGGGTTCTGAGAGGACCTCCTCCAACCAACAGACTCTCCATTCTTAAGGACACGGCTGTTTAGATTCAGAGCAACCTGAAGGGAACCTGGGCTAGAGTCCAATCGGGAAGCAGTGTGTTTTCAGCAAACTGTCTACTTTAAAACAAGATTTTGCCCCTTCACTTTTCTAATGTCAATCAATACTCATGCTGCTGTCCCTGTGCCTAATAGTCATGATACAGTTCTTGCACAGTAACCACCACCCAGAGGTTATCTCCAGTAACAAAACACAGAGATTTCAGGATCATTTTTAAACTCCGTATGAATGTCTCATTCTCCAAATCTTGGGATACAGACAAACTTTCAGACCAGACTGACTGTGGCCTTTGAAACTTCAACGTAACCTGTTAGGCAGGTCTGGAGCTTGGAGCCTGCAACTGATTGGAAGCGAGACTCTCCCACTGGATGGAAGGCTCCTCTGGGCTCCAACACTAAGACGTAAGAAGAGGGGACAGCGTAGACCATGAACTGAGCTGGAACTGAGGGACCTGGAAAGAGGTCATGTAGGCCAATTAAGCCAATCTCTTGGAGTTCTGAGACCAAGAACTAAAACTCCAAAGTAGATCTTTAAACCTCCAGGCCTACCCCTGCCGTTCTACCTAAGAACCAGCACTCAGTATTTTCTGGAAACCTAGTTCACCTGCAATTCCAGGGCTTGGCTGTGAGGAGGCAGGATGTGAGGGCCTGTCTTCACCTACCGAATGTCCATGTGTGTGTCCAGTGTTCTCTGGACAGAATCTGCCACAGGCTCTTTACTGTACAACTAAAGAGTTTCATGCAGGCCAAGGCTAAAAGAATGTTCTGGGCCTCTCAACAGGTCTCTGTGGGAGGGCTGTCAAACCTGGACTCTGCCAGTCAGGTAGCCGGATGCAGATTAATACCACTTGTCAGAGCTCTGACCCACATCCACCTTTTTATCAACATTCTTCTCCCTTTTCCCACAATCACCCTTCCTGGATCCTACCCCCTCTTCTCAGCCATCAAATTCCTGACACTCCCAATGCTTCCTGCTTCTGCTTGCTGTCTGCAGCCCCACACTGGTAGGAGCTAAGGAAGGGAAACCCACATCAGGGTGTGAGGCGGAGTGCTGGTCCCACAGGAGTGCTGGTCCCACAGGCGTCTGTCATACTGCCAGGGCCACAGGACAGCGGGCCTCAAATTCGCTCTGGCCGTGAGCTTTAACGTTCCCAGATCTTCGAAATTAGCAACTGGAACATGACAACCCCTCCAACTCCCCCCCCAACCCCCACCACGCCAATCCCTGCCTTGCCCCAAAGAGCACAGCAGCTAGGCTCCCGCTGAGTGTGACACACTGTTGACTCACGCTGGTCAAGGACGGTGGCCGCACACACCAATCGATGGTGCTAAGTGGCAGCTCCAACCCACCCTGCTCGATCCCCAACACACACACACACACACACACACACACACACACACACACACACGGCTCTTCAAGTGTCAGGTTTTGGTATTTTAACCAAAGAATGAGAATTCCAACAGGGTCATTCATCTCATGATGAATGCATATGCAAGTTAATTCATTAAATTAAAAAAAAATCAAACATCATTTTGGCAGCATTTTTACAATGAATAATTCTATATACATGCTATAGACACAGTTTCTATAAAACACACTATCTACAATCTACTTACATTTAGCTGTCCTGCTGTTTCTAGTTCATGTGAGATCAGTCACAAATGAGTCAGTTTCCCTGCCTGTAGGGACTGCGTTATCCCTTAACACCAGGGTCAGAGGCACTGGCTGAGCAAAACAAGATTTTAAGAATCTTGTCAACTATCTTGCTTGTAAGAACAGACACCAGAAGCCAAGTGCTGTGAAGTGGTTTTGGAGTTAAGGCAGCAATGTAAGATGTCACATAAAACTCGAGTGTGCCCTTTGAAAGTGTTTCATGGATCCCCAAATGTCGGCCCCCTTTTTAAGTGCACCTCTGAAGTTGAGGGAATAGCTACAGATTTAGGAAAAGAACAACCTCCTAAAACCTTTAAAGTCATAATTTAAGCTTTAGCCAAAGGTTAAAATTACTTCTCATAAATAGAAATAATTCAACTTTTAAAAAATGAGGTCACATTTAGTCACTTTATCAAAACAACTTAAAACTGGTATAGAACGTTAAACCAAAATTAAGCTCTCAATGCATGTTTGTTAATTAGCCAGTGCACCAAATATTTTCAAAAATCTACAAGAATGATATATCTTTCTTTCTCTTAGAACTTTCCAGTTTGTCTGTAGCAAAACATTATTCTAAAGTCCGGTCTCTGAACACTGTCACGGCCGATGACTGTCATCCAGCATTAAAATAGCCTTTGTCACCCTCGATGTCCACTTCCTGGTCGGAATCCTCTGAGATCTCCGAGTCGGGGTCTTCCTGAGAGGCTGGGGAGGGTGAACACTGAGAACTATCCAAAGAGGCACCTTTATTCTGCTCACCAGGCAAGTCCTGGCCCTGGTCACAGGAAGTGTCCAAACTGTCCGACTCGTCCTTTCTGTTGCCTTGAGGGTTCTCCTGGATGACGGGGGTGAAGGTGCAGATGGTGAGGGCAGAGAGACAACAATCAAAGCTGGGTTGTTTTTTTTTTTTCTTCAGCCTTTAGCATGCCTACAAAGTTTAGTTTACCAACTATTTTCATTAAAATCTTTTTACTAAGAAAATACACTTGTGATTCGTTTCCCCATTTCAAAGAAGAAGGAAGAAGTCACACCAGAGAGAGAGATTATATACTTATTATAGACCCATGAGTTCAAGATTTTCAGAAGTTTAAGAGAGAAGCAAAAAAAACAAAAAACTCAGTTCAATGCAGACAGCAGTTCTCATTCTTTAGATATTGCCCCAAACAGGGGTTCTAGCATTTTAAAAGAATGAACCTTATGGCCGGGTTTGCTATATGAAGACCTAATCCCCTAAAAAAGAAAAGAAAAAGAAGAGGAAGAGGAGGAAGAAGAGGAGGAAAAAGAGGAGAGACTAAATTAAGATGCTGCAAAATTATTAGATTGAATCCTTTTTCATTTGTTTTCTCAAGTAAATTTACGAGCACACACGTGCATAAATATGTACCGAATTACAAAATTGTGACCAAAAAAAAAAGCACAGAACCAAAATAATATTGATAAAAAGAGTTTGCAAGTTACTTAAATTAAAATCTAGGCAAACATTTTTGGGAAACATGTTTTTCCATATTACATAGAAAACACTATTTGAAAACTCCTTGGTAAACTAGTTCCAAGCCAAGTCCAGCCAGTGGATTTTTAAGCATGTAGATGTCTAATGTGGAGGTAAATATTATATAGAAACACTGTCATTCTCTAGTCACCAAGTTCGCAAAAGATGTATGAAGTTAGAGAGAGGGGATCCTCAAATATTTAAGAACAATGAAGTTCCAGGAAGTTATTTTATTGTTTCAAAATGTCCTTTGGGACAGCATTTAAAAGAAATTATAAAAGTATGAGCAATACAACTTAAAATCTACATTAAATTTTCCCCATTACCAAAGTATTTTGTTTCAAACCATCCTGTTATTTAATGCATTGCCAGATGGACCATTCAGCAGCTGTCAGATAGCTCTAGAAACATCCAGATTGGGACAGAAAAAACAAATCTTTAGCTCTAAGTCTAGCTCTAAGGGTGACCTGGCCTTTCCTCTCTATCACATATTTCTTAACAAGGTCATTGAAAGACTATTAGGAAGTTTAAGTTACTTTCCAAACAGGTGTGGACATTTCTTTGTGGATTTCATATTCATTTTAAGAGCTGGCAAAGGATGGATAAATAACTTCTAAAACTCTTTGATATTTAAGTCTTCTTTCTAAAAAAGTGCAAACAGGACTTAAAAGTGTTTGTGTCTGTGTATTTACCCTTGAGTCCTGCCTAGTTTTATTATGGGTGTGTAAATAAAAGAAACAATTTTCTCCCAAAGATAACTACTTAAGTCACTTACTGTCAATTACTTTATCTTTCTTGTGTTAATGAGATAAACAACATATGGGGTTTATAAAACAATTAGCCAGGCGGGTTTACAGGCCAGTGTGTGAAACCCTGGCATAATGGATATAGGAACTGCATTAGGTGCTTTTAGCATTAGTGACACCTGAGCAACTCATCCTGAATTTCAGCAGGAATATTTGCTTTTTTAATCAAGGTGAAGAGGTTAAATAGTCTCTCAAATGACTTTTGCATACAACCCATAACAGGCCTCCGCATTTAGATAACATGATACAAACATTTATTTCCATAGAAACAGAGCCATGTCGATACCTGTTTCAGTCTTCTCCATTTAGCTCGGCGATTCTGAAACCAGGTTTTGACCTACAGAAAAGAAAGAAGGTTTGCAGAAAGTCCCAAATCCCAAGAGACCTGGGGAGAAGGGACCGGGGCTATGGGGCCCCTGCAGCTGGGTCGGCCCGCAGAATGGGCCCGCAGCGCAGTGGCTTTTTCGCTAGCTAGTTCGACTGAAGCCAATAAGCCTGATGGTGTGTTTGGGGGTGGGAGTGGGAGCGGCTGACCTGTCTCTCGCTGAGCTGCAACATCTTGGCCAGACGCTTTCTCTCGGGTGGGGAGAGGTATTTCTGAGTTTCGAACTTCTTCTCCAGCTCGATGGTCTGGTCGTTAGAGAACCTCACTTGACCGCCTTTCCTTTTGTGCAGAGGCCGCTGGAGGAAGGGGCTCCAGAACAAGGGTTTGCCTGTGGGCCAGAAGAGCTGTGGTTAACCAAGACCCCGGGCCCCTCTGAACAGTTCCCAGACCTACCTGGTCCCAAGGCCAGAAAGCAGACTTGTTCCCATCACATACACTCTCAGGTATATGGATCTTTACCACACTCCCAACGCACACCAAGTCAGCTAAATGGTTCTATCACACAGATCAACTCTGGATACACAAGACACTGCACTACCCGCCCAACATATCTGTAGCTAAATCCAAACAAATCTTTTCAACCCCAAAAGAACCCCTGCTGGGCTTAAACCTTATCTTATTCATCCGAACTGACTCTTCTGTATGCGCTAACTTTTGCAAAAGACGCAGGGTGCGCATTTACGAGAAGAGCAGGGTTGTTACACTTCCCAAGGCCCGGCTGCACAGAAGCGCTCGCAGGGCGCCGGTGTTAGGCCACCAGTGGGGCCTCCAATGTGGCTGGAGCGCGCCCCGGCCTCCTCTGATTTCACACTCGGCCTGCGGGGGCGGCCAGTTAAAGCCACCCCGTGGGCTATGGCAACATTTCCGTCAATGTGTTTCCTGTTGGTCTGTCTCAAAAAAAAAAAAAAAAAAAAAAAAAAAAAAAAAAAAAAACCTTTGCTTCCTTCTGCTCAGGCCTAGCAGAAACCCAAGGAAACCAGAGCGAGCTATGTGAAAACGTTTGCTCGGGACCTCTCCTGACCCAGAGGATAGAGTTGGGGCCGGTCACACACACTCTGCACGCTGAAATTTTTAAATACAAATTTTATGTACAAAATTATAACATTCACACCCCAAATCCCTGCAGCGGTGAGAAGAGAGGAGCGCAGGAGGCCTCTCTTAATAATGCTGGCATTAAAATGCCAATTCATTAAAATGTTAATTGTCTCCGAGGTCCCCAGTTAAGCTCCCAAACTGTCGATTTTAAACTCTGACGAGCCCCTTCTTACTCACTCTAGACACCATTGGCTACAAGGGACTGGGGCCCTGAACCCAGTCACCGTTGCTTATTTATTTTTAGGAGTGTTGTGGGGACGAGCCTCGAAAATTCCATGCAGTCAATGTGTAGCCCTCCCTTCGCATCTGCTCAGGGTCTGCACCTTCCTACTCCAAAGTTGTACGTCTATCCGTCCGTCCGTCCGTCCGTCCGTCCCTATGACCGCAGGCCTACACCTAAACATTTTGAAAGCTGGCATTGTTTTTTCGAGATTTTGCTTGCGTCAGGCTTCAGACTTGGTGCAAAACAGCCTCCAAAGATGGGGGGTTGGGGGGGGGGAGGCAGAGAGGAAGCAACTGGTTATTTTAGCTGCCATAAAGTCACATCCCACACAGAGGAAATGAACAATATCAGAAAAACGGATCCTGGCTATCAGACGTCGAGTGTTTCCTGAATTTGTCTGTATTGAGGATGTCGATAAAATAATCAGCAGCGTGCACTACTCCGGGGGAAGGGTCTGCTTCATGCAGCCAGGAAAACACTTAACAGCTTCAGAAACCAGATTTACTCCTATCGAGAACTCAAGATTTCCTGTATGAACGGAAAGGGTCAGGCTCCTTCACTGCACAAGCTTGTTGAACCAAGCCCAGCCCAGGAACCGCCCGGGCCGGCAGTTCTCCCTGCCCTGCAGGGACCAGGTTCCGGGCGCCCCGACGTCCTCTTCCCAGTGCGGCTCGCTAAGAGAGCCCCTCCCGGGCTGACACGCGTGGCCAGGGCCGCACTCCACCACTTCCCCGGGAGCCCCAGGTCTCTCCCGACTAAGCTCGCCCCGACGTCTGCAAGGCGCAGGAAAAGCAATCTGAGTCGCCGAGCGTCCCAGCACCGGCAGCGCGCCGCCGGGGCCCCGCGCCTCCTGTCCCCGCGCGCACCCGCGAGCCGCTCGCTCCGAGCGCTCGCCGCAACTTTCGACTGCGCCTCCCGTCCGCCCCCCGCGCGCTGCCACCCGCCGGGAGCGCCTTCGTCACGGACGCCCTCGCTCGGCCCCAGCCGCCTTACCCAGGGGGTCGTGGCGGAGTAGGGCGTGCGTGTAGTCGTTCACCGTCCGCGGGAACGGGTACAGAGGGCCTCCGAAGCCACCGGGGCCGTAGGCGGCGGCCAGAGCGGCGGCGGGGTGGTGCGAGAAGGCGGGGTGGACCGGCGTGGGCTCGTACACCGGGGTCCGGTAGGAGGACACGAGGCTGGTGAAGGAGGAGTTGGGGGACGGCAGCGTGGGAGTGGGCGTGGGGGCGGCGGGCCCGCGCCCCAGGATGTCGTCGATGTAGAAGGGCGTGGGGTGAGCGGGCTGCAGCAGCGGCGTGGGCGCGTACAGCGGGCCTCCCACGGCGGGCGCAGCCGCGGGCACCGGGTGCGGGAACTGCATGGCTCCGCAGCCCCTCGGAGATTGCTGCCCGCCGGCGCCGCCGCGCTACATTTATTTGCGCTCTGTGCTCCAGGCGATAGGCTCGGGCAGCCGCGGGGTGGGGCTGCGCTCCGTCCCCTTCCTGCCGCCAGGCCCTGCGGCCAATGGCGCGGGCCTCGGACTCGCCTCCGCCCCCGCTCCGACCCGCCCCCACCGGCCCTGCTCCCGCCCCCGAGACTCACGGGCTGCGGAACTCCAGGGACCCTCCGCCGGGGTGCTTGCTCCTCCGCCGGGGTGCTTGCTCCTCCGCCGGGGTGCTTGCTCCTCCGCCGGGGTGCTCCTCCGCCGCGGGCTCTCCCAGAGGCTCCAGGCACCTAGAGCGCGACTGCGACCGTCGAAGAGGACACCACTTGGCATGCTCCGAGGACGCGGATCCTGGCGGGATGGCGCCACTACTGAAACTGGGGCAGCCTCTGGCACTTGGAGAAGCGTTGGACGCTGCGCTTCCTGGGGTAACGGTGGCACTGTCGAGAACGGGGGACCTCCGCAGCTCGGAGCTCCAAGGGGAAGACCCTAGCCGTTGGCTGCGTTCCAGACGGGTACTGACAGCGAGACTGCAGATGCTCCAGACTCTCTATTTGGGGACCCTGTAACTCAGCCACCTCCCTGGATGCTGACGGAATCTGCTCCAGACCGGTATCAAGACAAGACCTTGATCCCATTGCGCGGGACAGAGGCTGTGCAGTGTTCTTCTATCCAATGGGCATGGGAGGTGCTCCTGGACCTCTGTCCCTGGGCCCTGAAGGACACAGCTGCGCGCAGCCGAGCTCTGAGGTTTTGCACGTGTTTTCTATTCAAAGCCGTGGCGCGCTGCTCAGTGTGGCCTCGACTCTGTGCGGCTTCGCTCGCCTCTGGGGCAAAGGGGCATTTTATTTATTGACGCCCTCCTGCGGTGACCACACCTTGAGTTGGGCAGTTTCTGCTAAGGTCTCTTTTTTCGGGGGGGTTGGGTTTTTTTTTATTTTTGTTTTTTTGGGTTTTTTTGTTTTTTCGATAAAGTCTTCTCTTAATAGAAAAACTCCTTGACTATTTTTTCAATTGAGATATTAAGTTTTATCCCTTGGAGTTACATCTTCAAGCTGCAATGAGACTGAAGGCGAAAGAGAAAACTGGTAGCCAGAGGACCTGGGTCCGAGTTTCACTTCACACATTATTTTCTTGAGTAACTACTGTGCGTCATTAGCAAATGAGAGAGCCTGTCCCTGCCCTGGTGGAAGCAGGAAACAAATTGAACACAATAACATACATCCTAGATAGAAATCATGTGTAAGGTTCGGAAATCTTAGGGAACTCCTGTCCCTCGTTTCGGGTGAAGGAGAGAGTCACTTTGAGAAAGGGAAAGTCTCCTCAAAGGAAATAATGTTTGAAAGATAAGTAGGTGTCAACGAGCCTAGGGTGTGAGTGACTCCAAGTCAGAAGGGCACTTGAATGCAGTCTTGGTCAGTTTATTGCCCTGGGCTTTTCTCACCTGACCCGTTTGGGACTGGACATAAAGGTTCCTAACTGCTTGGGGATGGAGTCACCCGCATCTTTTAGAATAATGACAGACAAAAGCCACTAGCACAGACAGACCAATGAATGCGAAGCCCTGTTATTTGAATTAAAACCTTGGGGGCTAGTAAGGATATATCTCCGTGTGTTCACTCTGTTTCGTGAACCATAGAAGGAAAACGATTAATTTCGGGTCCCCCATGAAGAGGGGCAGGGCTGGAAAGAGTAGACTTCTGAATACCTGGAGAACTGAACCTTCTGAGGTTTCTGGTGAGCGCAAAGAAAGACGTCTTGGGCCAGGCACCGTGGGAAGACAACAGACTGCTTGAAGGGGCTTCCGGTGGGCAATCTCCACAGTATTTAAGCTTTCAAAAAAATGCATCGTCGTCGGAGCCTGGCAACCTGAGCGTCGATCCACGGAAGACGTGGTGGAAGGAAGAACCGATCCCACAGTTATCCTCTGCCCTCGAATGCTTACTGTGACACATTATACACAATAGCGAAGTTGAGAAAATGCATAGTAAATTATGCTGTTTCTAAGTCCATTGAACTCAAGTGAAATAAAGGACTGGTGGATGGGAAAACGAAGAATGGCAGAACAAATATAAAACATTTGAGGCCAGTGAGGTGGCTCAGCCTATGGGAGATTCTCTCCCTGATGCTGCACAAGTAAGGACTCAAGTTCAAGCTTCCGACCCCACCTGAGGTGTCGGGGGTAGGGGGAGACTTCCCTTGTAGCAGCATGGCTGGAGTGCATCAAACACAATAATAATGAGATACCTTTGTTGGTTTGTTTGTTTTTTGTTTTTTCGAGACAGGGTTCCTCTGTGTAGCCCTGGCTGTCCTGGAACTCACTCTGTAGACCAGGCTGGCCTCGAACTCAGAAATCTGCCTGCCTCTGCCTCCCAAGTGCTGGGATTAAAGGCCTGCACCACCACTGCCTGGCTGAGACACCTTTTAATGTAGAAAGTTTTATTAGTTCAGGAAAGACTCATTAGACACACAGGTATTGGGAGCTGGAGAGATGGCTCAGCGGTTAAGAGCACTGACTGTTCTTCCAGCGGTCCTGAGTTCAATTCCCAGCAACCACATGGTGGCTCACAACCATCTGTAATGAGATCTGAGGCCCTCCTCTGGTGTGTCTGAAGACAGAGACAGTGTACTCATATACATTAAATAAATAAATAAATCTTTTTTTTTTTTAAAAGGCACACAGGTATTGTTCTGGCAAGCTCTTACAGAATTAATGCATTTCTTTGGATTTGATGTAAAAATAGGAATAAAAATGAATTGTACATAGATGACAGTATTTCACTGGTACTATGTTAAGTGTGATTTTGGTCTTGTGAGTTAAATATTGGAAACCTACTACTAAGATGCAAACGGAAGCATTTTAAGAAAATGATAGGGGCTGGAGAGATGGCTCAGTGGTTAAGAGCCCTGACTGCTCTTCCAGAGGTCCTGAGTTCAATTCCCAGCAACCACATGGTGGCTGAAACCATCTGGAATGGGATCTGAGGCCCTCTTCTGGTGTGTCTGAAAACAGCTATAGTATACTCATATACATAAAATAAATAAATCTTAAACAAAAAAAGAAAATGGTACCTGCAACCTTTGAGTAGTTTATTATACACACGTGTATAGTTACTCACACGTACACAACTGTAATATATACATACATATAGAAAAAAGGGAATAAACCAAACATTCCAAAATATTAATTGGTGAGTTTAGGCTAAGAGCATACAGGTTTCTGTTGTGCTATAGTTTTAACTACACAGTAGCTTTCAAATTTTTCAGTATAAAAACTGGGAGAGAAGAAGTGTAGTTTTTGTATATTAAAATAAAGCGCTGGGTCAGTGATGGCTCAATAGATGGAGGTGCTTGCCTCCCAGCGAATGAGTCTGCTCACGAGACATGGTGTCTCTGACCACACAGGCACTGGCTGTAGCACTTAGGCGCTGGTGCACAGGCAGAACCAACGTAATAGTGACTGGAGAAATGGCTTAGTAGGTAAGAGTTACTTGCAGAGGACCCAGGTTCTATCCCAGATGCTCTCTGCTGGCCTCTGAGGGCACTGCATGTACACAGTGCACAAATACACGCGCGTGCGCGCGCATACACACAAACATGAGGCTGGAGAGACAGCTCACTGTTTAAGAGCACATGCTGCTCTCCCAGAGGATCCAAGTTCAGATCCAGCACCCATATGGGGAAGCTCACAACTGCCTGTAACTCCAGTAATCCGACACTGCCTTCTGGCCTCCGTGGATGTACTCCACACACAGGATTCATTCACACGGACTCTTTTGTTAATTGGGTATTTATTACTGGGGGTTGAACCCAGAACCTTACACATGCTAGACAAATGCTCTATACTTTGCCTCCTTCCGTTTAATGAGCTTGAGACAGGGTCTTATGTAGCAGCCCAGGCTGGTCTCCAACTGAATATGTAGTCAAGGATGGTCTCAAATGTCCATCTTTCTGCCTACACTTCCCAGTGTGCTGGGGTTACAGGCACACATGCTCCTGGTTTATGTAGCACGAAGAATCAAACTCAAGGCTTCATGTATATTATTAGGCAAAACCAAACAATAACAAAAAAACTATCAACTGAGCTGCATTTCCAGCCTCCCCTTTTTTGTTTTGAGGCAAGGTCTTGCTAAGTTATCCAGGGTGAACTTAGCTTGAGAGCCTCTTGCCTCAATGTCTCAAATAAGATTACAGGCAGGAGCCACCACACCTGGTACCACTCAACTTTAAAAGCTTTTTTGTTGTTGTTAATTATTCATTAGGTCTCTATACAATTTCACTAGTGCCTCATCTTTGGAGACTGTGGTGGAGGGTTCTTACACAATCCCTGTCTCCACAGGTGACCCCACTGCTGACCCCACTACGGACCACTCTCATCACCTGCCCCGATGGAGAATTCAGTGTGGTTTAGGTTCCAGAAAAACTCTGAAGACCAAGTAAGAACTGTTACTATTTGAAGTTCAAATGCGTCTTCAAAAAAATGGTATTTGAATTCCCCAAAATCTGGGACCTCGTTGAACTATCAGGAAACTGTTCTTCCTCATGAAATATTTCCCCAACCTTCTGTTCGGTCTTTTGTAGTCTTCTCCCCACTTCCCCCTTTTGGAATGATTTCTGCAGGTCAGTTAGTGTCCTTACCCAAACCCCTGTATTCTCTTCCTCAGGAATATTTGGGTTTATGGTCTTCATTTAATCTGTGCTTGATGCAGCTACCAGCCAAAAAGATGGAAATCTGTAAACCCTCCAAAAGTAAATATTAAGATGCTGGGAAATAACCACTAATGCAGGATTGTTAAGTCATCGCCTGTTGAGGTGCTTCCTTCCTTTCTCTGCTGCAGCCACGGACCCGGGAAATCGGGTGGAGGCCTTAGAGGTATTGGCTCTGACATTCCAACTCAGCTACATAATCCTCACCAGCAAATTGAAGCACTTAATTCTGCTAAACTATATAACACTGCCTTCTCAA